ACTTTCCAGTGCCGCACAACCCGCGAGTTCGAGTGTTAAATTTAATCCCCCGCGATAGAAAATCGTAAAATTTCGTCGCATGGGTACCCAACGACATTATACAAACGTGCGTCTCGTGATTTCTAGAACATTACAAGCATCCGAGCGCCGAGCCTTGGTTTCGCAGTATCCTCGCGAAAAACAAAACAGATGCCTTTGAATATGCTGGTTTTGTTTTCACACGGGCACATTGCCGAGTACCAAAGACGTTATACTGTGCTGGTGATAACAAAGACTTATAATGCTTCTGTCCCGTGTTTCATATTTTTCGATTTTATTTTATTTCAAATAAGTTGTGAACTGACAACAACCGCGCTAGCACGACCACAGTGACAACGGGATACGGCGAGCAAGGGAGTACAAGCATGAGCTTGAAAAATATTGTTGATGGAGGTGACTGCGGCACGCTAGCTGCTGCTAGGCGTGGGCTGTTCTCCGAGTTGTTGTTGTTCCCGAGTCCAAGTGTTGATTCGCAGGAAATATGCGTGAGATCCACGAAGATGAGCGACAGGGCTTGTTGAAATGATTGATGAGTAAGGCCGGAGACTTCATTTACGAAAACGGCCATTATCAGAAGTTGGCTCCAAATAGGTGATTGAAGTGAGCGACAAGTAGAGTTGGGAAGAAATTTAAACATTGATGTTGGAATTTGTCATAATTCATTGATTGGAGGGTTATTTTGTTGACGGAGTGTGGAAAAGCGTTTGAACGTGAATTGGGTGTTTTGAAGAGGGTCAATGAGAGATCTCGGTGATTTCTTAAGGTTAACTTACCAGGAGAGCTATCGGGTTCTTTCAAAAGAGGAATAATGGAGGGTATGGATGAGGGGAGATCTCGGGAGGTTTTTGGGGGGTATCTCTATAGTGGAGNGTGGGATCAAGTGGGATCTCGGGGGTTTTCTGGGAGTATCTTTCCAAGGGAGTTCTCAGGATTTTTCTAGGGGGGGGGGATTAATGGGAGGCATTAATGGGGGGATTAATGAGAGGTATGGTCAAGGGGAGATCTCGGGGGTTTTTTGGGAGTATCTTTACAGAGCAGCTCTCAGGGTTTTCCGAGGGGCGGGCATGTTAATGAGGGGCATGGTCAAGGGGAGATCTCAGGATTTTTTTGAGATATTTACAAAAAACAAATATTTGCAGTCCATGGGTTGCTGAAGAACTTGGGCAACAATCCCGAATTACTTTCCTAATCAATCTTTCGATTGTATGTTTCAAATGTCAAATATCGTCTAATAACCCCAGGAATCTCCTCTTAGCCATTTCCTCTGAAAATACCCTAGAACCTCCTCTGAAAAATGTTCCGTGAAAATCTCGGCGATCCCCCTAGAAAAATCCCCCTAGTTATCCTCTCAAACCTACTTTGAGAAATGCTCCCCAGAATNACGAAGATGAGCGACAGGGCTTGTTGAAATGATTGATGAGTAAGGCCGGAGACTTCATTTACGAAAACGGCCATTATCAGAAGTTGGCNAAATGCTCCCCAGAATTCTCCGGAATTTCATTCCAACCATACTTTCGAGATCTCCTCTTGACCACACCCCTATTGACCCCTGGAAGTAACCTCAAAGAACCCCTCGGGATGTCCCCTTCACCATACACTCCTTGGCAAATCCTAGAAAGATCCAGAGAGCTATCCCCAAAAGTGATCTTCAAAATCACCCGAGATCTGCCCTTGACGATCCCCTTCANTGGAAAAGCGTTTGAACGTGAATTGGGTGTTTTGAAGAGGGTCAATGAGAGATCTCGGTGATTTCTTAAGGTTAACTTACCAGGAGAGCTATCGGGTTCTTTCAAAAGAGGAATAATGGAGGGTATGGATGAGGGGAGATCTCGGGAGGTTTTTGGGGGGTATCTCTANACTCGAAAGACCCTGAAAGTTCCTCTTGATCATATCACCCATTGACCCCCCTCTCTAGAAAGATCCTGGGAGCTGCCCTAGATCTGTCCTGGAGAGTTACCCTCAATAAAACCATGAGATCACCCCTTGTCCTTATCCCCATCGACCCCCCCTGAAAAGACCCTGAGAGCTCATGCGGAAAGATACCCTTCAAACCCCCGCCCCCGAGATCTCCCCACGACCATCCCCTCCATTGACTCGCCACCCCCTGAAATACCCCGGAGAGCTGCCCTGGAGAGTAAACCCCTAAAACCTCGATATCTACCCTTGACCATACCCACCACTGACCCCCACTACCCCTAGAAAGATCCTGAGAGATGNAGAAGGAGGGGGTGGTTAATGGGGGGATGATCAAAGGGAGATCGTGGAGGTTCTTTGGGGATAACTCGGCAGCGCAGTTCTCCGGATCTTTAGAGGGGGCGGGGGGGGGGNAGCTCATGCGGAAAGATACCCTTCAAACCCCCGCCCCCGAGATCTCCCCACGACCATCCCCTCCATTGACTCGCCACCCCCTGAAATACCCCGGAGAGCTGCCCTGGAGAGTAAACCCCTAAAACCTCGATATCTACCCTTGACCATACCCACCACTGACCCCCACTACCCCTAGAAAGATCCTGAGAGATGCCCTGGGAAGTTATCCCCAAGGAACCCCCAAGATCTCTCCTTGACCATACCCCGAGAGCTCCACTATAAAGATAACCCCCAAACACCTCCCGAGATCTCTCCTCGTCCATACCCTCCATTGACCCCCCCCCCCCCCTNTCGATGGGGATATGGTCAAGGAGAAATCTTTGCGGTTTTTTGGGGATAACTTTCCAGGGCAGCTCTTAGGTTTTCTTAACCCATTAAACAACCTCACAGTATCCCACTCTTCGGAATTTGGTGGTAGTATGCGTGCGCAGCTGAGCATTTCTTATGGCGCACTGATACGTTGAGGGGCTCCCNTAAAACCTCGATATCTACCCTTGACCATACCCACCACTGACCCCCACTACCCCTAGAAAGATCCTGAGAGATGCCCTGGGAAGTTATCCCCAAGGAACCCCCAAGATCTCTCCTTGACCATACCCCGAGAGCTCCACTATAAAGATAACCCCCAAACACCTCCCGAGATCTCTCCTCGTCCATACCCTCCATTGACCCCCCCCCTCCCTTAAAAGACCCTGAGGGCTGTCTTGGGAACTGACCTTCAATATCTTCCCTCGACCATGGCCTCCATTAATCCCCTTTTGAAAGAATCCGATAGCTCCCCTGGTAAATTACTCCTAAGAAATCGCCGAGATCTCCCATTGACCCTCTTCAAAACACGAAATTTACGTTCAAACGCTTTTCCTCACTCTGTCAACAAAATAACCCTCCAATCAATGAATTATGGCAAATTCCAACATCAATGTTTCAATTTCTTCCCACCCCTACTTGTCGCTCACTTCAATCACTTATTTGGAGCCAACTTCTGATAATAGCCGTTTTCGTAAATGATGTCTCCGGCCTTAATGATGAGATGAATCCCTGTGTGAATGCTCGTGTGTGTGAAGGCAGGTGTGTAAGTCTCAACGATATGTTTAGCGGAGATGAGCTCAGTGAGTCGGCCCGATGCTCGCAACGCTGCTATCGGACTAATTTGGCATGAGGTTACTTTCTTCTCTCCCTCATGCGTGAATATCGCTGCGAACCTAGCGGGTGAGATTTCCATCCTCGTTAGCCCCAGTGGTCGAGATGCGATGTAGGTGCGATGAGACTGCGGGTGAGGTTATCATCCTCGTTGACCCGTGCCGCGTGTGCGGTGTCCATTGTCGCTGTGTATGCCTCGTACCAGCGGAGTACTCGATGAATCCTGGTGGTAGAGGTGAATGCTGCCTGTGTGATGTGTGGACTATTTGTAGGAACAGAGTAGCAAAGTCGGAATGTTGACATCCGATGCACTCCCCGTTTGTATCGCGTATGTTGAACGGGAGAAATTGGACCGTTGACACGGCGCGTTTCAGATAATCACAAAATAATTGAAAGGAAATTATTGCTAACAGAAATTAAATGCTAGATTATTTACAACAGTGGTTGCCCTCTGAATAAAGTCGTTAGAAACCTTTATTGTAGCATTAACACAGCACAACGTTCATTGGGTGCTCCGCAATGTGTTAGCGCGTGTGAGAGAGACAACACTACACTCGCTACATGTGCATTGGGCCGCGGTAGAATCACACACGCACTAATAAACTGAACCGCGTTGCCAGGCGACCGGTGTGTCTGGTTTGCGTGCGCACTGAAGCTGTGCGTGCGCAGCAAGTTGGAGAAGACATCCGAGTATCGATTTTCGCAGGACGCCATCTTCGCACAGGAGAACGCCCACGTGGAGAAAATTGGATGAAGTCTTTTTCTTCCACAATGTATCACTGCGCTGAGATTTATATACACTGACGAGGTGTTGCGGTACGGGAGTTTTTATCAAACGCGTTTGGTGACCGAAATTATTTATTTAACGCGTTGAACAAAGCTAGACTCTTCCTGGCTAAAGGCACGCGCACTCGTTTCACTTATTGCACTCGCGCTTCCCTTTGATGTTGAGTGAGAAACTGCCTCTCACACAGTTTCCCCGGTATCGGAACTAATGTAGGATTCGAGGTGGCGTTGGATCAGGAAGGTAACGAATCAACTACACGAGGCAACGGTTGCAAACTAGTAATTAGTTTATTGTCGTGATATGAGTATGTACAGAATGAGTCGGCAGTATGAATGTATTATATATACAGGTGAGGTGGAGATGTCCACGGAGTGGCGAGAGCCACACAACTACTAAGCGGGAGCGATTGCGACACCTGGGACGTGCGTGTGTTCCTCAGGTGTGTGTCTATGAGAGTGGTGCGATACGCGTAGCGATGTAGCGAGCTGCTACAGGGGGGGGGGGGTAGGAATTCTGCTCCAGGTGGAGGACTCGGTGAAGACAGATGTCCAGGTGGAAGTCCAGGTTAAGTTCAAGTGCTAGCAATTCTTCCAGGTGCGGAAAAATTCCCGGAACTCTTCCAGCTCGAGGTCCAGGACTGCGAACTGTCCCAGGGAGAGGTTCAGGTTCAGAAACTGTTCCAGGTAGAGGTCCGAGTTCCGGAACTGTTCCGAATGGAGGTGCAGGTTTGGAAACTTCCAAATGCAGGCCCAGGTTCGAGAGCTGTTCTGGGTGCACTTCCCGGTCCGGGAACGTTTCTGGGTGAATGCCCAGGTCTGGACGTTGTACCAGGCGAACGTCCATGTCTAGGAACTGTTCCAGATGGAGATAAAGATTGGAAAAATGTTCCGGGTATACTTCCAGATCCGGGAACGGTTCTGTGTGAACGTCCATGACTGAGAACGGTTCCGGATGAACGTCCAGGTCTGGACATTGATGCAGGTGGAATGGCAGGTTCAGGAACTGTTCCAGGTGGATGTCCATGTCTAGGAACTGTTCCAGGTAGAGGTGCAGGTTCGAGCACTGTTCCGGGTACAACTCCAGATCGGGGAATGGTTCTGGGTGAACGTTCAGGTCTGGACACTGTTCCAAGTGGTAGTTCAGGTCCGAGAACTGTTCTGGGTGGTTGTCGATGTCCAGGAACTGTTCCATTTGAGAACTGTTCCGTTCACTCAGAACCATTTTCGGACCTGGAGGTGCACCCTAAACACTTCTCGAACCGGCACCTCTACCTGGAACAGCTCCTAGACATCTACGTCTACCTGGAACAGTCCCTCAACCTGCACCTCCACCTGGAACAATGTCCAGACCTGGTCGTTCACCCGGAACCGTTCCCACACCTGGGCGTGCACCCAAAACAGTTCTTGAACCTGGGCCTCCATTTGGAACAGTTTCCAAACCTGCACCTCCACCCGGAACAGTTCGAAAAAATACCCCCACAAAAATAATTTTATTAATAATACCCTAAACTCAAACTACCAACAAATTTATTGAAATTTTTATAATTAAAATATCAAAAATATCAATATTAATCCCATTGACTCAACAATTAAAATTTTTTAAAGCCCAAACTCGAAATTTAAATTATAATACTTTAATATTTAAATGAATTTAAAATTATTATTAAAATAAATATTTTTAATACCCGATAAATTAATTTAAATTAATAGATTATTTTTTTTTATTTTATCCAAATAATTAGTATATAAGTATTTATAATTTTTTAATAAATAATTTAATAATATATAAATTTATTATATTAAAATATAAAAATATTTATTAATATATAAATATATTATATATTAATAAATAATTATATATTAATATTATTTATTTTTTTACAATAAATCAGATAAAGATGTATATTATATTTTATAATAAATAAATCATATAGATATTATTATGTTAAAGTATTTATTAATTATATATATATATATATGTTTAAAGGCCAGTTTGATGACAGTCATCGAAATGACCACTAGTGGGCGTTCGTCGTGTGGTATAGTGTTCGTCCTGCAACTTTGACCTCGACCTCGCGAACCCTCCAGTATGCCGATAACCTCAGTCCGAATATCTGACGCGAATGTTCCCGAAAGTGGAGTTCTTATGTTTTACAATAAAACATGCGGTCAGGAGGGACCGCGGCGGATTTAAGTGCATCAGGAGGTAGAGCCAGGTATGAGCGTCATTTTCCATCAGAACATTGCGACCTTGCGTAACCCGACTAGGCAGCATACACCGTCTTTGCGCCAGTTGGAAATTGCGGAGTTACACCCGCAATTAACAACTTTTTGGGAGCCTTGAACAGCCACCTCCACGTGGTGCTCCCGGGTCATGCCAAGAGCTGTTCGGTTTTGAGGTTATAATTCATACATTTGAATTATACTTCAAAACATTGCAGTGTCA